TGATACCGCCATGGAGGCAGGCAGAGCCCGGGCTCGCAGCCATGGGAGACAGCGGGGCTGGAGCTGGGACCAGCTCCAAAGGCAAGCCCCAAAGACAAGCAGGGATTGACAGTGCCCATCTCCCCGTCCCTCCGGTCCTTTGCTTCTCCCTCCCGGCGCGGTGAGCGGGGCGGCAGGGTCTCTGTTTGAAGTTTTGCCTGTTCTTTGCCTCATGCCCGTGATCTGTGTATTTCTGTTACCCTAAGCGGAGAATCTGGTGCTGGTAAGACTGTAAACACCAAGCGGGTCATTCAGTACTTTGCCATTGTCGCAGCCTTGGGCGACACACCGGGCAAGAAATTAGTAAGACCCTCTTTTGTAACAAGTTCTTGCTGTTTTCCTCCTTTCTTTGTTTTATTTTTTTTCTTTTTTTCCTCCCCTCCCCCTTTCTTCTTCTTTTTACCTTTTTTTTTTATTCTTCCTCCAACTTTTTGCATTTGGAAGCGTGTTTTGGTCTGACCCACCCAGGGCTTGCCTTTTCCCTGACTTTTGAACAAGCAAGGCTTGAAATTATTCTGCTCAAGGGGAAATGGATTTTTTTTTAACGTGGCTGCTCAATCTGTGCAGCCTGGACGAGGTGCGTTAGATGCCTTCTTTATCTTCTCTTCCTCCTTCAACACCCCACAGATCTTCTTCTTAAGAAGCATTAAAAGAACAGAGTAAACCTGCCATTTCCCATCTTGCCTCTTTTAAGCCTTGCTTTTCATCCTTTTCTCCTTTTTTTCTCCTCTTGTTCATTTTGACCCTTTTCTACCTTGTGCTTTTCTTGCTCTTGTTTTGATTCTTGCATTTCTTTGGTGCTGGTTATTTTTGAGCTGCCCTTGCAACTGCTTATTTCTTCTTGATATGTTGAGGCTCCAGCCTGCTTTTCCCTTGCTTTAGGCATCAGACAAGCAATACTTCAGCATTATTTTCTTTACTCTTCTTTGGGTTTGGATTTAACTGTTCTTGCTTTTTGATGCATTTCTTTATTTTCTTGAGCTAATCTATTTAACAACTTTTTGGCATCTCTTGTAAAGTTTAATCTTCCCATTTTTTTCTTGGACTTTTTTGGCACTAAATGGTCATGCCCTGCTTTTCTGACCATGCTTCTTGTGGTTCTTGCCTGGCTTTTCTGGATTTCTAAAGACAATTTTCTTTCCTTTCTCTAGGCAGCTATTGCCACTAAAACTGGGGTAAGTGTTGTAGATTCCTAAGCTTTGATGCTGAGGACAGAGTTCTGCTGCACCACAGAGCTGTGGCGAGGGGGATGAGGAATGCCTGCGTGGGGCCTCTGCCTTGGGTCCAGGAGCAAGGGCTGCCCCAGCACCTGGGCAGCGTTTAGTTCTCCGCTTGGCTTTGTATCTCCCACCTTCCCGTAGCTTGAAGCTTTGATGTTTTGTCTCTTGGTGACTTTCTACCTTTCTGACTCCAACCTCTGCTTCATGGGATCACTGCTCTTCAAATGCTCGTTTCTAACAGCACAGTGGTTGCCTGGGGGTGGCGTGGGCTCCTCCAAGGACAAGGTGAAGCCCCCACTCTCTGAGCTGTTAAAGTCCCCCCCAGCCTCGCGGCCCAGCCGAGGGTGGTGGGGCTGGGGGGCAGGGCAGAGCCGC